TGTGTGTGACAACCAGAGATGCTTCCCATGTCCTGATTCTCTGTGTGTGACAACCAGAGATGCTTCCCATGTCCTGATTCTCTGTGTGTGACAACCAGAGATGCTCCCCATGTCCTGATTCTCTGTGTGTGACAACCAGAGATGCTTCCCATGTCCTGATTCTCTGTGTGAGAGAATCAGAGTTATACAACTAGCAGTGTCTCGTTGAGATGGTGTCATAGAGAGAGAGAGAGAGAGAGAGAGAGAGAGAGAGAGAGAGAGAGAGAGAGAGAGAGAGAGAGAGAGAGAGAGAGAGAGAGAGAGAGAGAGAGAGAGAGAGTGAGAGAGAGAGATACAGACGTCAGGTGCCCTACATAACTCTCATAAAGACAATCATCAGGATTCGAGTCATGTCAACACAAGACAGCTGCAGGATATAATTACCAAGAAAGCTACAGCTTCCTCAGGGCAGGCTCTAGCTCACGGTCCCTACACGACCAGGCTCAATCTCTTACTTTCCTGACGCGGGTGTGAATCATGTGCCTGACCACACAGTTAGACTTTCAGTTATATGAGGAAAGCAGTCCGCTGGCTCTTTAGAGCCACCCAGTAACAAGTGTGAGTATTCCACCTACACACTCTATAAAGCATAAAAATTAAGCCACGGTGTCCTGGGTCCTGGGATATTTACGAGAGACTTTTTAACCTCTGTACACACGCTGTGGTGTATGGATGCCTTTCACACAACGCTTGGACACTGCTAGCAGGTCTGGAGTTTACATATACGTTGTTATTCTGTCCAGACTATGGTTTCTAGCAGGACAGGAGTTTCTAACGCATTTGCATAGCAATTTTTCTCATGTAGGTTAACCATAGCAAAAATAAAAGTGAGTTAACAGGTACCATACTGGCCGTCAAGATGGATAGAGGCACTAAGGTTGTATGGAATCTAGTCCACAAGTCTTTGGGGTCAAATCTTGAACCATTCTTGTTATGGTTTATAGGGCCACTGACGCATTACGTCGTATCAAGCCGTAACACACACTAAAAACAGATATCGTTCTTCAGAATCATCAGTGTAGGTCAGGATACCCATGTTTTTAACAGCCTACGATATGCCTCACGCTGCCTAGATACAAACCTTCTGTTCATCTCATTTCTATGTTGATTTCTAGATATCGCCTATATTAATCCTGGGGTGAATGCATGATTCTTCCACTGTGTTAATCCTGGGGTGAGTGCATGATTCTCTTAGGGTGACTATGGAGAGAGAGCGAGAGAGAGAGAGAGAGAGAGAGAGAGGGGAGAGAGAGAGAGAGGAGAGGAGAGAGAGGAGAGAGAGTGGGAGGAGAGAGAGAGAGAGAGGAAGAGAGAGAGGAGAGAGAGAGAGAGAGAGAGAGAGAGAGAGAGAGAGAGAGAGAGAGAGAGAGAGAGAGAGAGAGAGAGAGAGAGAGAGAGAGGTAGTGTGCTTCTGCACTCCTGTAGTACTGAGCGCCAACACTAACAGCTTATTTGATCACTCAAGCTAAAGTGTCACACAATCAGCCTCAGGCAGATCATCCTTGAAAGGTGGCACTGGTCCCAGGTGGCACTAGTGCCAGACAAACTATGCCTGGGGCCCGGTAGAGACAGGGCCCAACATTCTTGTAGAGAAAGTGGAGGCTTCCCTTTCATTCATTGGTTCTGGCCCTGGGCAAGTGTGTGTGTGTGTGTGTGTGTGTGTGTGTGTGTGTGTGTGTGGTGTGTGTGTGTGTGTGTACTCACCTAATTGTGGTTGCAGGGGTCGATACTCAGCTCCTGGCCCCGCCTCTTCACTGATCGCTACTTGGTCCTCTCTCTCTCTGCTTCCTGAGCTTTGTCATACCTCGTCTTAAATCTATGTATTGTTCCTTCCTCCACTACATCACTTGCTAGGCTATTCCACTTCCTGACGACTCTATGACTGAAGAAATACTTCCTAACATCCCTGTGACTCGTCTGAGTCTTCAGCTTTCAATTGTGACCCCTTGTTTCTGTGTCCCCTCTCTGGAACATCCTGTCTCTGTCCACCTTATCTATTCCACGCAGTATTTTGTATGTCGTTATCATATCTCCCCTGACCCTCCTGTCCTCCAGTGTCGTCAGTCCGATTTCCCTCAACCTTTCTTCGTAGGACATTCCCTTGAGCTCCGGAACTAGCTTTATTGCAAACCTTTGTACTTTCTCTAATTTCTTGACGTGCTTGACCAGGTGTGGGTTCCAAACTAGTGCTCCATACTCCAGTATGGGCCTGACGTACACAGTGTACAGTGTGTGTGTGTGTGTGTGTGTGTGTGTGTGTGTGTGTTGTGTGTGTGTGTGTGTGGTGTGTGTGTGTGTGTGTGTGTGTGTGTGTGTGTGTGTGTGTGGGTGTGTGTGTGTGTGTGTGTGTGTGTGTGTGTGTGTGTGTGTGTGTGTGAGTGCGTGTGTGTGTGTGTGTGTGTGTGTGTGTGTGTGTGTGTGTGTGTGGTGTGTTGTGTGTGTGTGTGTGTGTGTGTGTGTGTATGTGTATGTGTATGTGTGTGTATGTGTATGTGTATATGTATGTACTCACCTAATTGTGGTTGCAGGGGTCGAGACTCAGCTCCTGGCCCGGCCTCTTCACTGATCGCTACTAGGTCCTCTCTCTCTCTGCTTCCTGAGCTTCCTGTGTGTGTGTGTGTGGTGTGGTGTGTGTTGTGTGTGTGTGTGTGTGTGTGTGTGTGGTGTGTGGTGTGTACCACCTAATTGTACTCACCTATTGTGGTTGCAGGGGTCGAGACTCAGCTCCTGGCCCCGCCTCTTCACTGATCGCTACTGGGCCCTCTCTCTCTCTGCTTCCTGAGCTTTGTCATACCTCTTCTTAAAACTATGTATGGTTCCTGCCTCCACTACTTCATTGCTAGGCTATTCCACTTGCTGACAACTCTATGACTGAAGAAATACTTCCTAACGTCCCTGTGACTCGTCTGAGTCTTCAGCTTCCAGTTGTGACCCCTTGTCCCTGTGTCCCCTCTCTGGAACATCCTATCTCTGTCCACCCTGTCTATTCCCCGCAGTATCTTGTATGTCGTTATCATGTCTCCCCTGACTCTTCTGTCCTCCAGTGTCGTCAGTCCGATTTCCCTTAACCTTTCCTCGTACGACATTCCCTTGAGCTCTGGGACTAGCCTTGTTGCAAACCTTTGTACTTTCTCTAACTTCCTGACGTGCTTGACCAGGTGTGGGTTCCAGACTGGTGCTGCATACTCCAGTATGGGCCTAACATACACAGTGTACAGTGTCTTGAACGATTCCTTATTAAGGTATCGGAACGCTATTCTCAGGTTTGCCAGGCGCCCGTATGCTGCAGCAGTTATTTGGTTGATGTGTGCCTCCGGTGATGTGCTCGGTGTTTATGGTCACCCCAAGGTCTTTCTCCCTGAGTGAGGTCTGTAGTCTTTGTCCACCTAGCCTATACTCTGTCTGCGGTCTTCTTTGCCCCTCCCCAATCTTCATGACTTTGCATTGGCTGGATTGAATTCGAGAAGCCAGTTACTGGACCACATGTCCAGCCTCTCCAGGTCTCTTTGCAGTCCTGCCTCATCCTCGTCCGATTTAATTCTTCTCATCAACTTCACGTCATCTGCGAACAGGGACACTTCAGAGTCTATTCCTTCCATCATGTCGTTCACATATATCAAAAATAGCACTGGTCCTAAAACTGACCCCTGTGGGACCCCGCTCGTAACAGGCGCCCACTGTGATACCTCTTCACGTACCATGACTCGTTGCTGCCTCCCTGTCAGGTATTCCCTTATCCATTGCAGTGCCCTCCCTTTTACATGCGCCTGATCCTCCAGCTTCTGCACTAATCTCTTGTGGGGAACTGTGTCAAAGGCCTTCCTGCAGTCTAGGAAAACGCAATCTACCCACCCTCTCTCTCGTGTCTTACTTCTGTTACCTTGTCATAAAACTCCAGGAGGTTTGTGATACAAGATTTGCCTTCCATGAACCCATGCTGGTTTTCATTTATTAATCTTGTTCCTTTCCAGGTGTTCGACCACCTCTCCTCCTGATAATCTTCTCCATGACTTTGCACAAATACATGTCAGAGAGACAGGTCTGTAGTTTAGTGCCTCGTTTCTGTTTCCTTTCTTAAATATGGGGACTACATTAGCTGTCTTCCATTTCTCAGGTAGTTGCCCAGTTTCAAGGGATGTGTTGAAGATTGTGGTTAGAGGCACGCACAGCATCTCTGCTCCTTCTCTAAGGACCCATGGGGAGATGTTGTCCGGTCCCATCGCCTTTGAGGTGTCAAGGTCACTTAAGAGCTTCTTCACCTCCTCCTCAGTTGTGTGTGTGTGTGTGTGTGTGTGTGTGTGTGTGTGTGTGTGTGTGTGTGTGTGTGTGTGTGTGTGTGTGTGTGTGTGTGTGTGTGTGTGTGTGTGTGTGTGTGTGTGTGTGTGTGTGTGTGTGTGTGTGTGTGTGTGTGTGTGTGTGTGTGTGTGTGTGTGTGTGTGTGTGTTTGTAAAAGAGAGGGTAAGAGTGAGAGTGTGAATGAGAGTGAGAAAGTGTGTGTATGATAATGTGAGGATGAGAAAGACAGACGTGCATGTGCGTATGAGAGAGAGAAAATGGATGCGTTGAGGGTGTGTGGAGAGGCCTAACATATCTTCCTTATAATTAAACGTGAACCTCATCTCAATGTTTTGTTTATTCTCTAAACAGACACATCGCTGCTGTCACATTTAAAACCTCAAAAGACAACATTACTAGACGAGGAGGTGAGCTCCAGCAGACGGAACATTGCCAGACACTTTGCTCCTTAAAGACATTCTTACAAGTAGCGACTTTGCGTTAGAATAGCGAGCTCTTAGGCACTCCACCAATCAGCGAGCAGGTGAGGGCGGGCCCACGGGTGCCTCCACCTTCCCCATTGGCTCCTCTGAGTGCCACGTCCCCATTGGCTCCTTGGAGGATCCGGGATCCTAGCCTACTTCCACATCTCCTAGGAGCTCCCTGAATTAAACGCTTAGACGACATAAATTTGCATATTTGAAAGGCTGGAACACCGGTTGGTATATAAAGAAAGTCATGCCCCCAAAAAAGATGCATTTACAGTGTAGCGTCTGAACGAGCAGGTTGTCTCCCCCTTGACACCACTCAGCCACCATGAAGGTAGGACCCAACACAGCCTCCAGCTGGGATATTTACCTAATCTCGTTGAAATCTCCGAGTGTAGGAGTGTCAAAGTGAGTGTAACAGTGTCATTCGGATACACCCAGAGTCTCGGACTGCATGCTTCTTCATACGGTCCACTAAGTGTCGAGTGCCGTGGCAGGTAACCCAGGGGGGTAAGGCCTGCCGTGACAGTTAACCCAAAGGGAAGTCCTCCTGTCAGTGCCCCTTTTTCCCTCAGTGATGTGTACCTCAGTGCCAAGTCTCGTTCGGCTGTGATATTGTTTTTTTTTTTTTTGCAAGGGATTAATGTACCGTGGTGAAACAAGTCAGTGAAACAGTGCTGCTGCAGTTATTTGTTGTGATAATTGAACGTTTCTCTGGACATTATCTCCGTTGTGGAAAAACACACTTATGTATAGTTCAGCACATTTATTACAGGAAACGTTTCGCCACGTGTGACTTCTTCAGTCCTAATACAGAGATAACTAAGATACGAGTATATATAATGGCAGGAGTCAGGTGGAAGGTCGCGTGGGTATAAGTAGTGGTGGTAGTAGTAGTAGTAGTAGTAGTCGTAGTGGTGGTGGTAGTAGGAGTCGTAGCAGTAGTAATGCGTGTTCCTGTGTAGTACGACCGTAGGTGATGCGTGTTCCTGTGTAGTACGAACGTAGGTGATGCGTGTTCCTGTGTAGTACGAACGTAGGTGATGCGTGTTCCTGTGTAGTACGAACGTAGGTGATGCGTGTTCCTGTGTAGTACGAACGTGGGTGATGCGTGTTCCTGTGTAGTACGAACGTAGGTGATGCGTGTTCCTGTGTAGTACGACCGTAGGTGATGCGTGTTCCTTTGTAGTACGACCGTAGGTGATGCGTGTTCCTGTGTAGTACGACCGCAGGTGATGCGTGTTCCTTTGTAGTACGACCGTAGGTGATGCGTGTTCCTGTGTAGTACGACCGTAGGTGATGCGTGTTCCTTTGTAGTACGACCGTAGGTGATGCGTGTTCCTGTGTAGTACGACCGCAGGTGATGCGTGTTCCTTTGTAATACGACCGTAGGTGATGCGTGTTCCTGTGTAGTACGACCGCAGGTGATGCGTGTTCCTGTGTAGTACGACCGTAGGTAATGCGTGTTCTGGGTGGTTTCCTAACCATTAGTCACTGGGAAATCAGGAAACATGCAGTCAGTTCATCTGCTATAAAACATATCCTCGTGGAATGTTTCTTGCCTTAATTTATAGCTTGATAAAACAACGGATTAGTAATGTGTGTGTGTGTGTGTGTGTGTGTGGTGTGTGTGTTGTGTGTGTGTGTGTGTGTGTGTGTGTGTGTGTGTGTGTGTATGTGGTAGTTTGTACTCAAGTACAGACTTGTGGCTTTAATGTATTGTAATGTACTCGAGTGCAAACTTGTATCTGTGATTCACACTAAGCTGTAACAAATGCTGTGTATAATAGTGGTGGTTCACTTCATATATGATGTTTACCTGGAGAGAGTTCCGGGGGTCAACGCCCCTGCGGCCCGGTCTGTGACCAGGCCTCCTGGTGGATCAGAGCCTGATCAACCAGGCTGTTGCTGCTGGCTGCACGCAAACCAATGTACGAGCCACAGCCCAGCTGGTCAGGAACTGACTTTAGGTGCTTGTTAGGTGAAAACTTTATTATAATTTTGTGTCTAATAAACACAGGGCCTTAACACAACTATTACCCGTGTTCCAGAGCTGACAATATTTAAGTTCGATAAGAGGATTGAAAGTTATAATTTACAAATGAAAAATATAATTAAATTATCTTAAGGCAAATATGATACACTCAAGTGTCAGTTGTGGGGTAGTTAGAGAAAAAGTCTCAATAAGTTTGGGTTTGGGTTGGAGACCAACTTTGCAAGACACTCACATTGATAGTACAGGAACCCTTACACCCACCACGCCCCTCGTGCCGCAAGAGCCTGTACACCCACCACGCCCCTCGTGCCGCAAGAGCCTGTACACCCACCACGCCCCTCGTGCCGCAAGAGCCTGTACACCCACCACGTCTCTCGTAGTGTAAAAGCCTGTACAACCACCACGCTCACTGCTCAGTTCGTCCGTGTCGGGGTCTGTGTTGCTTGGATGGGAGGTCAGAGGTCACAGAGTCGCGTAAGAGAAATGAGATCTGCGTGTTCGCGGAAATGAAAGAGAGAGGAAGAGAGACGGGGGGGGGGAGGGCAGAGTATTTGCTGACGTGCGTGTGTACCCGTAATTAACATGTCTTACGCTAAAAGCTTCTTCGTAGACTTTCACTTAATTATTTTATCAACAGTCACTCCTGCCTGGTTTAGGCTGGATGAGAAGCACTTCTCGGGTTGACAGCACCAGCTGATGTACACTTAACTAACTGTAAACTTCGCCAGAAGAACTAATGTCACACTCGGCGTCATGTACTGAAATGCGAAGAAAAATCATGAATTCAGAGAAAGCTCACTAACAAATGCTCAAGAAATGTCAAAGTATTTTATTTACAGTGACATATTACCAGTCATTCTGGAAAAAATACCCTGACTTTGCCTATTGTAAATAACCCATGGGCACTTTAACGGGTCTAAAATTCAACCATACCTTGACAAAATACTGGGTATTATTATCAGTAACTCGTAACTGCATATAAGATCCACTCTTTTTGACTAACTCGTGTTTGTGAAAAACATTACGATTGCTACCATATCATAAATTTGTAAACAGTCTGTTAGTACGAACTTGCTTAGCTACCAGAATGTTGTGGCCCGGTCCCTGGACCCATTATGTGCCGCTGTTATCTTTCGACTACCGTCCACAGTATGGGTGTGGGTTCACTACCACTTACACGATGTGTGGGAGGAAAACAACAGTTACGTGTGTAGAACAGACAGAAACACAGTCAGGGGCAGGAGGGGAGAATAAACAAGGTGGGGAGGGAAGGGGAGAAACAATCTAGCGTCTGGAACAGACACACAGTCAGGGGCAGGAGGGGAGAATAAACAAGGTGGGGAGGGAAGGGGAGAAACAATCTAGCGTCTGGAACAGACACACAGTCAGGGGCAGGAGGGGAGAATAAACAAGGTGGGGAGGGAAGGGGAGAAACAATCTAGCGTCTGGAACAGACACAGTCAGGGGCAGGAGGGGAGAATAAACAAGGTGGGGAGGGAAGGGGAGAAACAATCTAGCGTCTGGAACAGACACAGTCAGGGGCAGGAGGGGAGAATAAACAAGGTGGGGAGGGAAGGGGAGAAACAATCTAGCGTTTGGAACAGAGGTGAAATAATTACGGTGAACAGGAAGTGTTGTCTCTGAACACTCTCCCCCCCTCACTAGGTACACTCGTGTACGTTCTTATGTTTGCACTCTTATTTGTCCATTCTCGAACATCGACTGTCATATGTACACATCTCACATGTACACAAGCACAAGTAAGCACCACTATTCCATCCAGTCCCAGGAGAAAGTGAAGCACTTATGTAATTAACACCACTATATCCTTTATGATAAAAATGAAATCTACATATCTGGGGGTTCACCCTACATATCTGGGGTCTGCCCTACATATCTGGGGTCTTGCCTGCAAATCTGAGGTCTAGCCTACATATCTAGGGTCTAGCCTGCATATCTGGGGTCTGCCCTACATATCTGGGGTCTAGCCTACATATCTGGGGTCTTGCCTGCATATCTGGGGTCTAGCCTGCATATCTGGGGTCTAGCCTACATATCTGGGGTCTTGCCTGCATATCTGAGGTCTTGCCTGCATATCTGGGGTCTAGCCTGCATATCTGGGGTCTAGCCTACATATCTGGGGTCTAGCCTACATATCTGGGTTCCAGCCTACATATTTTGGTCCAACCTACATACCTGGGGTCTACCCTACATGTCCGGGGTCTAGCCTAAATATCTGGGGGTCTCTCCTATATATCGTACTCCAACCTATGTATTTAAGGGTCCCGTTTTTCCACATTCTCCTAAATACATTTCACTCGTTGTTTACATAAAAAAAATCTCCGATATAGATGTCCCGTAGCTCAGTTGCTAGCGCACTCACCTCACACATTGAGGTCCGGGAGTCGATCCCCGGTACGGGTGGGGACATTAGGACGTGTTTCCTTAAGACACCTGCTGTCCATGTTCACCTGTTAGTAAAATAGGTACCTGGGTGTTTAGTCGACTGGTGTGGGTCGCATCCTCGGGACAAAACTGACCTAAAATGGGGAATAATTTAAACTCTGTGTGTATATACACTGATATCCATCACTCTATGTATATACGCTGAGAGACGTACACATCTGTGTTTATGTATGTGATTCACCACTTCCTTCCATTTTGTCCAGACAAAACACAAAGGTTGCAGTAATTTTGAACAACAGTTTAGTAGTAGTAGTAGTAGTAGTAGTAGTAGTAGTAGTAGTAGTAGTAGTAGTAGTAGTAGTAGTAGTAGTAGTAGTAGTAGTAGTAGTAGTAGTAATAATAATATTAATAATAATAATAATAATAATAATAATAATAATAATAATAATAACTCTGCATGTACAAGGTATACAGGCCTGGCTGACATCAGTGACATACTACTATATAGAAAGCCGCTTGTTATGCTGAGCATTTCGGGCAAATTTTGTCAATTTTGTCCCCAGGATGCTTCCCACACCAGTCAACAAACACCCAGGTATCTATTTTACTACCAGGTGATCATGGCCAGCAGGTGTCTTAAGGAAACACGTCCTGATGTTTTTACCCCTACCGGGGATCGATCCCCGGAACTCAATGTGTGAGCTGAGTGTACTACCAATTATTTATTATTATTAAAGATTCGCCGGTGTTCTCCCGGCCCGGGCCTTTTCCAAGTGGTGGCCCGGCCTTGACTCCCTCTTTAGGGAATGTCTGAGACCTAAGTCTCCCATGGGAGGAGGTACAAGTACCTCCTCATCTTTGGGACCAACTGTCCCCAGGCCTAGCTTCTCGTAGGGAGAACCTAGGCCTCTCTGGTCTGCCATCCCCGCCCC